TGTACATGTCGTTGTGGCAATTTCTTCGCCACAGAAAAACCCAGACACATTTCATGATGTCTGTCTAATAACAAAATAATAATAATATATATATATATTATAACAAAATAATATATATATTATAACCATGTGCAGCGTATAATATATATATATAACTTGAAGTCCATCATCAATTTCTGACATGATGTTGAACAAAATACTATATATTATAACCATATGCAGCGTATAATATATATAACTTGTAGTCCATCACCAACTTCTTACATGATGTTGAACAAAATACTATATATTATAACCATCTGCAGCGTAGCATATTTTTAACTTGAAGTCCATCATCAATTTCTGACATAATGTTGAACAAAATACTTGTATATCACAAACAACTACCTGGTAGGACACCTCTATACCCAAACCCGAACCCCACACCATCATCAATGTAACATCAACGTATTAAAACGTAACATCAACATATAATCAACATAACATCAACGTAGCAACGGGGCATGATCAAAGTAACATCAACGTATCAACAGTAGCCTCAACGGCTCCTCAACGTAGCATCACAGTATGATCAACGTAACATCAACGTAGCATCCACGTCGCATCACCTTGCACGCAAGAGATATGAACGTTATCACACCCCACCCCACCCCACCCCAACAGTAGCCTCAACGGCTCCTCAACGTAGCATCACAGTATGATCAACGTAACATCAACGTAGCATCCACGTCGCATCACCTTGCACGCAAGAGATATGAACGTTATCACACCCCACCCCACCCCACCCCACCCCACCCCAAAAACCTCAAAAACGCACGGCCTCTTAGAGGCGCCCATACCTAAAATGAAAGTAAATTGAAATCAATTGAAATTTATCCATTTTTTTGGATTCCACACTATTGTGTGCCCGGCCCCTTGTTTTTTCCACACTATTGCGTATCCAAAATTTGTTTGGGGGGGAGGGGGGGACCGTACGTTCGACACTTGGAGGCTATATCGCAAGCCAAGAGGCTATGGATCAATACTAATCAAAAGGCAGCGAAGCAAACCACAGGCGCAAAATGGACGCAACTGATTCCGCATGCTTCAGGCTTCAGAACATATATAATATAGGCTTCCCAGAAAGATATGCCGATGGAGCCGCGGAGCCGATGAGGCCGATGAGGCCGATGAGGCCGATGGAGCCGATGGAGCCGATGAGGCCGATGAGGCCGATGGAGCCGATGAGGCCGATGCAGCCGATGCTTAGATGGGCTGGGGTGTTGCTAACAGGTTAACAAAATTAACATAATTAGCTAACAGTTACTAACTAGTTATAACTAATTACTTTACTTCGTGTGATTCCCACCATGACATTTATACATTTTCTTACTGGCAAATCTTCTGGCATTCTATCTGACATATCTTCTGACATTTTATTTGGCATTCTATCTGGCATATCTTCTGGCATATGATCTGGCATATCTTCTGGCATATCTTCTGGCATTCTATCTGGCAAATCTTCTGGCATTCTATCTGGCATATCTTCTGGCATTCTATCTGACATATCTTCTGGCATTCAATCTGGCATTCTATCTGGCATATCTTCTGGCATATTATCTGGCATTCTATCTGACATATCTTCTGGCATATATTCTGACATATCTTCTGGTATATCTTCTGGCATATCTTCTGGCATATCTTCTGGCATATCTATCTGGCATATCTTCTGGCATATTTTCTGGCATTCTATCTGGCAAATCTTCTGGCATTCTATCTGGCATATCTTCTGGCATATTATCGGGCATTCTATCTGGCATATCTTCTGGCATATATTCTGACATATCTTCTGGCATTCTATCTGGCATTCTATTTGGCATTCTATCTGGCATATCTTCTGGCATATCTTCTGACATTCTTTCTGACATTCTTTCTAACTTTCTTCTGCACATTCTTTGTTCCATATCTTCCTACATGAGGTCCGGCAGGGAACACTTGGCGTGGATACTCGCGGTTGAGGTCCGGCAGGGAACACTGGGCGTGGATGGTCGTGGTTGAGGTCCGGCAGGGAACACTGGGCGGGGATACTCGCGGTTGAGGTCCGGCAGGGAACACTGGGCGTGGATGGTCACTGGGCGGGGATGGTCGTGGTTGAGGTCCGGGTGGGAACACTGGGCGTGGATGGTCGTGGTGGAGGTCCGGCAGAGAACACTGTGGATCGCGAGTCGCAGTTGAGCAGGAGGACGAGGAGGACAACGAGAGGAGGAGGAGGAGAAGGAGGAGGACGAGGAGGAGAGGAGGAGGAGGAGGAGGAGGACGAGGCAGGAGGCAGGAGGAGGCAGGAGGAGGCAACTGACATAAAATCTAACAACCCTCACCTGGCAGGTGGGGAATTAAAAAAGTTACCTTTTTAACATACTTACCATGAAATTTTCAATCAAAAAATCAAAAATAAAAAATATATTCCATGAAAGCTGACAGCCCAATGTATGGCTCAAAGACAAAAATGAAAGCCCTGCAAGGCTAACAATGTAAAAGAATTTATTTGGCACAAACAGGCACCAAGTAGAAGCTCAACACAAACACTCTTGAAAGGAACCCTAAGACATCTTCATGGCACATATTGCCACAAGTGATTTTTTTTCATTGAGTGGCCAACAAATATGGTGGGGTGAGACAAGTGACATTGCCTTTGGCACTTGAATATGTCACTGAGCAAAGAATTTCTTCCAAAGATACAAATGCCAACTGTCTTGGGGTGGGCACATTCCACTTGGACACCAATGTGGATAATGCCTTGTCTCCAGCAATGTACTTCTCCACAAGGGCGACCTCCCCAAAGGAAAATTGCAAGAAGCAATGGACTTGGCCAGCACAGAAAGGCAAGGTGGGTGCTGATTGTAAATACACCACATCCCCATTTGTGATGGTAGCTCCAGAAGACACTCTGCATGAGGAAGCACACATGCAGTTGCTACCAACAAATAGCAAGCCACTGCTTTGAAGAGTGTTCATCATCTTCTTGGTTGGCTTTCTGACATTTCCCAAGAAATACCCATCTCTGAAACATTCCATATGTGTTTCCAATGAATGGATGTGCTCAGCAATCACTGAAGCAAGCAAAGAATTTTCATAGGCTGATGTGTTGCAAAGTAAATTTGCATGTTTCCTGATGTCCTTGTGTTTCCTTTCCAAAGACCAAACCCCAGGAAGTTGACCATGGAGCTTCAAAGCATCACAGAAATGCAGAGCCCAATGCATCTTTGGCCTGAACTCCTGTGACCAACCTGCATTGATGGTAGAAGCCAATGCTTGTTCAACCAATTGAAGCAAGTGTTTGTGGCAAGGCCTTTGCAATGAAGGAATTGCCACACAATAGTTCACAATAGTTCAGCACTTTGCACCAAGCCAAGAAACATTGACAAGCTGAACATAGTCCATGGGGAAGGCAGCATAATTCCACATAATACGCCAAAATTTCACAAACACCCAGCATTTCACTTGCTGAGCACTTGAATTTTCCAGCTTTCTTGTGAGATTCAGAAGCTTTGGTGTCAAAGAGCCTGTGCACAGCAACCTTGCCTTTCTTTGAGTGCACCCACAATGTCACAAATCCATGAAGCTGCTTCCAGGTGTCCACCTCACCAGAATCAGATAATGCCTGGACCAAAAGAAAGGTAATCCAGGTCAGCACACCATTGGGAGCCAGCCCATGCATAAAATCATGCATGTATTGGCTGGTGGGCTGCAAAAGGTGTTGCTTCCTAAGTGTGGGGCTGGCCAAAAGTGCTTTCTCAGACCAATCAATGCCAGCTGCTTGGCTCCAAGTCTTGAGCTGTGCCTTGTTGCATGAACTGGCTCTGCTTTCCATTCTTGACCATGAGTCAAGAATCTCTTGGTCAGTGGCAATCTCAAGCTGGCTGTGTTTGATGTATTTTGAAATCTCCTTGTGGCCTTGATCATCATCTTTGGATGGCAGCCTGAAAATATTTATTACAAGCCATGCGCACTCTGAATCTGTACTATATTAAACATAGTAAGCAATATAAATTTGAATTTGGAATTGAAACCAAAATTGTTTTCAATTCAATCTGAATTTCAATTTGAAATCCAAATGTATTAATTTCAATTTGAACTTTAAATTGAAACCCAAACAATTTGGATTTCAATTTGAATTTCCAATTGAAATCCAAAATGTTTTCATTTCAATTTGAATTTCAAATTGAAATCCAAAATGTTTTCATTTCAATTTGAATTTCAAATTGAAATCCAAAATGTTTTCATTTCAATTTGAATTTCAAATTGAAATCCAGCTTGCAAAATGTCATGCCCTTTCCTGTGAGCATTGTAGGCATTGACCATGCTGGATCCTCTGTTTTGAGGATGGCACAGGAAAGCAGCAGGTGCAAGCTTGCTACTGTAGATCAGACCAACACTCTCCAAGGTGGAAATGACATTTTGGAGCCTGATGTTTATCCCCAAGGAGCAACTTGGGCTGAGCAGCTCAGTGACAGACTTCAAGATCTCTGGAGGAACTGCCATGGCACAGGCAGGAACAAGTGAAAAAAAACTGTGTTGTGTTGTACTGGCTGGTCCTTTACACATGCGACCCCGTGTTGTGTTGGCTGCTTCTTACACACGTGGTCCCATAACTAGTTTTTTTAAAAACCATTCCTTGTCAAGTTTCATTCCTTGCCAAGCTTCATGCTTGAGCTGCTAAATCATGCCCAGCAAACAGAATCAATGCTAAGACAAATGGGAGGAAAAAATGTCTTTGCAGTTGCAAAACAAAGCAAAAGCCCTCAAAGGCAAACAGCATCCCAACCATGCCCAGCAACAAGCTGCTGAAACATTGGGGCAAATTATAAGCCCATTGAGGCAAATCCAAACATGCATGCTTCAATGCTTGAAGCTGCTGATTTGTATTATGCACCATGCACCCCAAAGAATCATTCACACCAGCACCAATTCCCATGTTTTTCTTGGGCCCGGCAGGTGATGCTCCAGCTTCAAAATTGCACCTAGTCTGCTTCTTCATCTTTTTGGGGCTTGTTGCCACCCTTTTTGTAAGACCTTTTGGCTTTGCCATTGTCCTTGCAATCAGTCTTCAAAAAGTCAAAGACACAACTCAGCTGATCCTGGTCCATCAAGACCAAAAGATCTGCTGATGCAGATCTCTTCCCAGGGCACAGGATGGAAACATTGGTGGAGCCAATGGTGATTTCAACCGCCTGTTCAGTCTTGAGCTTCTTCTGGCCATTGCTCATGAGCTTATGGTTCCTCTTCTGCTTCAACTCATTGAATTGGAGAAGGAATGGCTTTTCATAGTGCATCCGCAAATCAACCTAGAAATCAAAGGGGAGCTGCCCTGGATCTTCAAGTAGTTCTGGTCATTGATGTCCTGCAATGTTTAAGCTATCCAATCAACAGCAATGCCATTAATCAACAAGGAAAAATTGTGTTGGCTTGATGAAAGCATTTGGCCAGCAACAAACAAACCAGTCCTTCACAATAAAGCTGGGAGGGATGGCAACAGGCTTTGAACCATTGAAGGACAAAGCAAAAGTAGGGGTGATCTCCACCACTGCAAGTGGAACTTCTGCCATGCTGCTGAAATCTACTTTTGGGCAACAATTCGTAAGTCCCAAAGAGCCAATAGATCATTCAATTGGCAAAACCGTTCACCAAATGCTTCAGTCTAAAGAAATTGCAGCACCAAGTGCTTTTCACAAAAGAAATTGCAGCACCAAGTGCTTTTCACACACAAAACTGACAGCAACATTTTTGCAATAACAAAAAGAATGTCACCAATCAAATAAAACTTCTTTGATGGCAGTTTCACACTTGCTATGGCCATGGCAGCCTCTGATCTGCACATGGCATGGCCTCCTGACCTTTCTTCATGAACATTTTGCTTCTTTCATGAAAACAAAATGTTACAAGTCATTAAAATTCATGTGTGCAAAACATTGGTCAAAAATTAGCTAACAGTTAGTAACTTTGCTAACTCTTTAACTAAATTAACATAATTAGCTAATTTTTCATAACAGTTAACAAATGTTATAATTTTCATAATACATTATAACTAGTTAACATATGGTTACAAAGGTTTTAACATATATTTAGTAATGAATTGTGAAGTAGCTTAAAATATGTAACTTGTTAGCATCACCCCAGCCCATCTAAGTGAGGCCGATGAGGCCGATGAGGCCGATGAGGCCGATGGAGCCGATGAGGCCGATGAGGCCGATGATGCGGCCGACGATGAGGCCGATGAGGCCGATGGAGCCGATGAGGCCGATGAGGCCGATGAGGCTTCACCAATATCCAGACACTTTGACCGCAGTGGTGAGGCCAATCAAGTTTCTTTGAAGCTTGGTTCCAAGTCTGGAAAGCAGCAACTCCCAGAGTCTAGTAGCACAAGCAAGTCATGCAACCTTGTTTGTTTCGTAGACGAGACTAGTAACACCGTTTTTGCTCTTTTGACTTTGTTTGCATCATTGTCTTTTGAGCCAGTTGTGCAAATCACCAGAATGCTTCGCCTTCACTGTTGGAATATCCTTCTGGGTATTTGTGTTGGGTTGACTGTCTTGACCAGTTGTTTTTGCGGATTTGACTTGACTTGCTTTTTGCTGCTGCCTTTCCGTGATGGTAGCCTTTGTTTGCTTGAGTCCTTGCTGATTGTCCTTCTCAATCTTGCGGCGCAGTGGGTTTGTCTACTGGCCCTGGTGTGCGTGGCAGTCATGCATGTGCCTTCTAAGCTGACAGTGTGTCGTCGCTCTCACGTTGTTGTTGTCCGGAAGTCTTTGTGGCCGGATCTTCTTGGGGGCACTGGTTTGGAGGAAATTGGTTCCAAGCCATGGTTGGACAACATCTTGCAGGGCTTGAATGCCCGACAATTGAAGCCACCCATGCAGCAAGTTCGGATGCTCGCGCAAGATGAAGCCACTTTGCGGCGACTACAAAAAAGTGAATCGCTGAAACATCAGCTTGACATTATTTGTGGCGCTGCTTATAAGGCCAAGTTGTCGTGGAAGAAAATTGATCAAATTGACCCTGTTTCTTCTTCTCTCTCAACTGCTGCCCCGCCGGCTCCTCCTCCTTTGCCTGAAGTGCAAACATGGAGGTTGCGTGCTCGTGACTGGAAAGTTGTGAAACCAGCAGCTACCGATGGTGACGCTGTGAGTGGAGAAAGGCATGATGCATTTCGCGATGTGGCTGATGGGGACCCTTTGTCGCACTTGTGGTCTCGCAAGTTAGGTGCCTATTTTGTGTCTGCGGTTGAGGCTACTCGCATTGTTCGGTCCGTTCCTGCCCATGCCCCTCCAGTTGGTGTTTTCACTCTTGTCACTCTTGAAGCAACTGCGCGTTCTGAGGTGCAACCGGTCGAGACTATTGTTGTCTTTCCTGACAATAGTCATCACATTTACAAGGTTTTTCTCACGCACCTCGGCACTGACAAGTTGAGAACTACTGCTTGGACTACGGTATCGCTTGCTTCGGTTGATTCTGTTGAAGTGTTGCTTGAATGGTGGAAAGATTTGTCTGATGGAGCTGTTTTGGCTGCCTTTGATAAATTTGTGAAACTTGCTTCTTCGCCTGTTGATTCTGATAAGGACTCCTTGGCCAACAAGGGCAAGTCCAAAGTCAAAGGCAAGACCAAACATGGTAAACTGCCTCACCGTTTGTCTGACACTTTGGTCGCGAATTTGAATTCACACGTGAGTCATATGCTTGGCGATGCCACTGGCCAAAAGCTGGCTGGCGCATGGACCGCCTCCGGCCACAATGTCAGGGCTGATATCATTCGCGTTTCTGTTCGCCTCCCAAAAGCGGATGCCCTTACCTGTTTGAAATCGGGAACGCAGCACAGTGCCGTTTTGGTTCGGGATATTCACACCATTCCTGAGGCGAAAGACTTGTGTTGCGTCTGGATTTCTCCTGGCTGTCCTGTCCTTGAAGGTTCTGCGGCTCACACTCGCCAAAGTTTGCAGTTGTATTTGGCTAGCTTTGCTCACCCTTGGTCTGTTGTGCGTACTCCTTTTCGTTGGGGGATCAGGATCCACAAAGATCATGAGAGAGAAGTTAAAGCCATTGTGCAGCCGCATGCTGTGTTTGTGCCTGCTGATCACTTCAAGTATCGTATTGCGCATGTTCCCAGATCCCTTGATCCTGCTGTTCTGGTTGCCACTCTGACCTCTGACTCGTTCAAGCCCTACTTGGTTTCGTCTTTCAAGGGAGTTGTGACCATAGCTGCGCCCTGTCCACCTGCGGACATTGTGTTTACAATTGCTGAGCTTGGTTGTACTCTGTTACTTCAGCATCTTCCTGGTCCTGCCAGTGGTGGTCCTCCTCTTGTCCCGTCCCGCCATGTTGAAGGTGCGAGCCCAAAGCGAAAGAGTCGGCGAGCTGACTCTGAAAATGCTTCTGTTGGTCCTGGCAATGGCCATGGTGCTGACACTCGGGGTGGAGCTAAGGGAGGGGTTCTTTCTACTAATCCGTTTGGTCCTTTGGATGATGCCTATCAAGTTGCTTTTCCGCCTTTGCCCAACGCTGGTGTTGCTCGGGAGCTCGCTTCGACCGAACCTGAGTTTGAGCTTGGAACCCTGCCTAATCTCGGGAACACATGTTTTGCGGCTGTGGCTGTCCGTTGTTTGGCTCACATTGTCAAAAAGTCGGATTTGCGCTCGTCTGTCCTTCAAGATGTTTCCTTGAGGCGTTTGTTGGATGACTTGTCGCCGGCCCAGTGGACGCGCTTCATCAAACATCATCACCTCGAGCATGGTCAGCAGCAAGATGCTGCTTTGTGGTTGCAGAAGTGGTTGGACTCTGAGTCGGTTTTGTGTTCGCATCTTTCTGTCACTGAACATGTTGCTCTTGAATGTGTTGGGTGCAGTGAGCCCAAGACAGCTGAATCAAGTTTTTCTCTTTGGCGCGTTCCCGCTCCCAGTGGCGGCTCTACTTCGTTGCAGAAGCTGCTTGATGATGATCAATGCTGTTCGGCCAACCCTGAGGTTGAAGTCTCGTGCTCATGTTGTTTTGCTGAACACGCGGAAGCTGTGTCTAAGCGTCTTTCTTTGAATGACTGGCTTCTCATTCAGACTCTGAGGGCTGATGTCAATGATAAGAAAAAACACACGGCTATTTCACTCCCCGACATGGTTGTTGTTGCTGATGCGTCTTGGGATATGCACCTTGCCGTGTGTCACTTGGGTGAGTCTGCGTCTTCCGGGCATTATGTTTTGCTTGTTCGCTCAGGTCACGATTGGCTGTTGTATGACGATGGAACTTGTCGTGTTGCCTCTGCTGAAGACATCTTGGATATGCCTTCTTCCTGGTCGTTTGTGTTGTATCGTCGGCGTTGTGAAGGATCGTCGCCGCAGTCTCCTGCTGTTGTTGTTAACATCGCTGCCTTGCCTGCATCATGTGCTGATGCCGTTCCTTCGTCAAACCCTCCTGTTGCCCACCCCACGGTTGGTCTTTGCAGGGATGACCGCCCTGACATGCCGTCTGCTGACAAGCGTGCTGACAGTGTCAATGATTCCAGCGGCCCTCTCCATGCTGATTTGCGCAGCTTGCTTGCGGTTTTGTCTCAGCGGGTTGATGCGCTTGAGGTTGAAGTGCAATGTCTTCGGGGAGCTGGTTCCCTTCATGAGAAGCTTGTGTCCTTGGCTTGTCCGGGTTCTGGCCCGTCCGTGCCTGTGCGCTCAACTCCTGGCGATGCTTGTTCTCCCGGTGGTGATCGTCTAGGAGACACGGTTGCGAGCAACCCTGGCTGTGATGCGGATAAGCTTGTTGTTGCCTCTTGTCAGGGTCAGACCGGGATGCAGGCCCAATCCTTCCCCTGTGGCCCTCCTCCCCCGGTCGTTGTCGAACCTGTTCCTTCGGACGCTTTACCAAAACGGAAAAAGCCAGTCGAAAAACAAAGCAGCAATCTGTCATCAATTCCTGTGGGCTCTTTTCCCCGTTCCACCAATCCGGCAATTGTGGCTGAAATCCTTCGCTTGCAAACTGCTGGCTTTGCTGAAGTTGCTTGGATTTTTGAGCGCTTGCACGCTGACTCCATTTTGCTTCCTTTGGCCCAACAGGCGCAAGACGTTGGTGGTTGGAAAAATCTGGGTGAAGCTTTGACTTATAACAGTCGTGAAGCTCAAACTCAACTCCAGAATGATGGCATCCATAGCCCAAGCGTCCGCTGGCTTGTGTTTCGCATGCTCCAGCGTGGGAGGTATAATCGGTTTGCTTCTGTCCTGGCGGCTGGTCATTGGGACCTCTTGCGTCAGAGTTTGGCTGTGTGCGACGTTCCTGACTGGTGGTCGCCTCCTTGGTGTCGTCCTGTCCATCGTCCGCATGCTGCGCAAGCTCGTGGTCGTCGCCCGTTGCTTCCTCATGAATGGCATCGCGCCCAAAGTTCCAAACGCAGTCGCCCCCCTGTTCCTGCTGCTCCTTGTGTTGGTGGCCCTGTCCGTTCGCGCAGTCGTTCCCGTTTTTGCGATCAAACCTTGCCTGTGCCGGTTGCTCAACCTGCTGTTGTTGGAGCTCGTAAGGTCTCTGTGGCTGTTCCCACCTCTTCTGTGAAGAACAAGAAGAAGCGCAAGGCGAAAGG